CGCCCTGTATAGTTTGTTGTACAATACTCCCTAAAGGCCAAATCACAGAATAAGATGCAATTCCTCTAACGATAGGGTGCTTTCTTACAAAAGCAACAGCCTTAGAAAATTTCGTCACTTGGGAACTCATAGATGACTCTGTTATTGATGTTCACAGATTTATAAACTGCACAGTAACCCTAACGTACGAACACACCACTTTTAAAACACTGAGAGTTGTTGTTGTCACTCAGGAGGAATGAGGAAAGAAAGAGGAGAAAGACAAGGAAAGATTTAGGAGTTAGGTCATGGTTTGGGGAAATTTTAAAAATATCGTCTGCTTGCTATGACGTTTGGCGATGACGGTAGGTTGACATTGACCTGGTTCTGCTGGTTTAGAACTTGAATACAGATTATAGGAAAACTATAGTCTAAGCATTGGTCTCAATCAATGGTTTTCAATAGTCAGTATATATATATATTTGTGTACATACAACCGTGAGTATATAAGTATTTTTTATTTGTTCTATTTACGGTAAATACGATTGAATTGTAACAAGGTGGGGTATAAACCATAAACAGACCAACACAAGTAGACTTCTCGTCCCATTGTAAATTTTTAAGCTCGTTTCTCGTGTCTAGTTCATGTTGGTGACACTGATCGCTACTGTCAACGAAATTTTGTTATTTTTTCAAAGTTAATTTCATGATTTGTGCTTTACTATTGTTTGGTTGTATAGTTAGGGGGCGAGTTACTGTTTAAGATTAGATCATTTTATTTGGAAAAACGAGAATTGATACATAGTTTTTACTGAAATAACCAGAAACAAATTTTAAGCAAACACGACCTCTATAGAGCACCAGTCGGAGCTAACAATAAAATTGTCTTCAGCTGATCCATGAGGATGACAAATCCTAATCTATCAAGTGAGTTAGTTTCATCCATGTTTAAAATCCAAGATCTAGTACTTTTTGACGAGTAATGTTGATTTTTAGTTATCAAATTTAACCACAATCATAGATCAAATGTTGGAATCTAAAATAATATAGCCCAAAGTGCCCAAAGTCATATGGTATCTCGGTCCAGAAACAATCGCGCTTGAAATCGAACCAGTGACCTTCAGATTTGAAGGGGGCGTTTCAATAAATCGGCTACCCAGACAATTGTTTGAATAAAATTGGTTTGCACTATAAACATTAGAACGAAACTTAATCCTTTTGTGGTTACCCTAAGACACATTAATATTTTTTTTATGACTGGTCAAAGTCTATTTGGTTACCGTAATTAATTGTTCGTTTAATATACATCCACACTATATGTTTAGTCAATTTATGTGATTCGTGTAGGTCTCAATAGAGCGTTGTACTATCTATTTATTTCCTTCCTCAAAACATCCACTTTTTCAATGTGTTAATGTTAGATGATTATCCACAGTCAATGTCAGTTTGAGCGTGTTACATAAATCAACTTTCCGCGCCGCTAGTTAATTTCAACTTATGTGTGATTATTGATTTATGATTTTTTTATAGCCATGACACACAGCATATACAATTCATATAGCATGTTTTTATTTTACACACAATAATACATAATCTTTGGTAGTCAACAAAACATCACCGGTTGATTAGACAGTTTCCATGGCAACCAAATCAATCAGGTTTGAATTGAATGTGTGTTTATTGATGTGTGAAGTAGTGGTTAGAAGTGATAATAGTGGATTTTACTGTCAATATTTCGTAATGTAATCTAGAAATTACATTTAAGTTTATGTCTAGCACATTTATGTTTGATTAAACATCTTTTCTATTATTCATAAAAGTTATTTGTGTTAACTTGAACTTTTATAGTTAATTTATGAGCAGTTGTAGTTGAAAGTTAGTATACCCACTACATTATTAATCTAACACTTGTTCACACAATTTAAAATACTTCTAGTTGTGGTTGTGTACAAGGTATATTGAAATAGGTATCAATCATAAAAAAGTGTGCCTTATAATTTCAATTTTCGATGAATATGAACAATGATTAAAATTTAACTTTTCCATACTGTTTTAATTTTTTATGGCCTTTCACAGATAAATTACAGTAGTTAGGCCTAAATTATCAACTAGGTAAGACTTTATTATTCTATTTGTAATGTGTTTTGATATCAATACTATGATTTAAAAACAAGAGAGAAGAGTTGGTGTGTTTTAATACAGAATAGTTTTGGGGGCGACTGATCTGGAGGCTTGAATTAAAATCACCGACCACCAACGAAATATAGTTGTGTTGTAATGCCAATGTTGCTAGAGAGATGAACAAATGTAGGCCTACAGTTCTTTTCATGGGCACCTACGGGTGGGGGAAGCATTGGTCAGGGCCGCCTGATAAATACTAAATTATTTACTATGTTTTGTAAGGTTTAAATCATATTGTAGCCAAAAATGATACTATGTATGCTTAAATGTTTGTTAAGATTGGCTGAGGTTATAACATATTATCATGTACAGACTATTGGGTACTGAACCATTAGTCAAAGATATTATGTTTATTCTATTGATGCCTAATTATAAATCACAATAATTATTGTAGATGTGTGTAAAAATACAAGATGATTTTCACTTGCATAGTTATTCAGTTGGCTGTTTTAAGTTCAAATTTTGATAACATTAGTATATCCATTCTAGCTGGATACTAAACTGTTGATCTAGAATTTTTGTTTCTAGACACTAAACCAGCAATTAATTGAGAATGTCATTTACCTATAGTTAGTGTTTAGTTTCTGAGGGAGTAATGTTTGATTGTTTGTCAGTCGAGGATGCAATGGCCGACTTGGAGCCTTCCCCGACTGGAAGTGCAAGACTTCCTCCGTTGACGTCTCAGTTCCCACAATGGAGTCGAGCCACACCTTTGGCGCCTCTTGCGCCTTCTGGGAGACATGAAGCGGTACCTGGTTTCCTTCGGGTAAGATTGCATCATATGAAGATTTGTAATAACTGTTCAATAACGTAATCACTGACCGTGTTTTTGACAACAAAATTGCAACAAGTCCAAGATTACAGTGTTAGTTTTTTGTACGATCTTCGACGAGATGATCACATCATGCAGTGTTGTATAGGCCTACATTCTTTTTTAACCATTCAACTTTTTAATTTTTGCTTGAGGGAGGAGCAGGGGCGGCTCCAGAGGGTAGGCCCGGGCCTACCCAAAATTTTGGTAAGTTATATATTTAAAAATTATAAATAGGCTAAATAAAGAAATTTTATTAGGCCTCCTAAGTACCTATATGTAAATAAAGAGAAAGTATTAACTTAAACCTAATTATTTTGCATTTAAATTTTAAAATTCTCCCCCTTTATGATCCACAAAACCCCTCAAACCTTTAGTCCCCGGTCAAACTCGTTTTTGATCGTTGTCCTCCCGGAGGACTCTTGAATTGATCAGACGAATCAGACTACTCACTAAAGAACTACCTTTACTCTGTTTGACACAGACCTGGGATTGTTTGTAACATTAATTCAAGATTGACACTTGACCTAAGCCCTCAGGGCTCACGATGTTTCTGGCATTCAATTCTTTTATGACCTAGAGGGCATTAGGTCAAGGATGAGCTTCTTGGCATGAAGAATACCCTGAACGAACAGCGACACAGGTCTAATTTTCATAATCGAGATGACCGTGTCCACCATCAACAGTCCTACATGCTATTGAGCTTCCAGACTCCTTTCCAAACACGGACAGCAGAAAAAGTGTGTTTCGTTGTGAAGAGTACCCGGGTAGTAAATGCAATCGTGTGACACGGCTTTACCAATCCTGAAAATGTACGACCAAAAATAGAGGCGCTTAATAATCCACCTCCCCGTAACTCTGATTTATGTAAGGTTGGATTTACTGAATAAGTCGTCTGGTCCAGCTTCTCCCTGTCTCTAGTTGCCAGCTCTCCTGCCAGAGCGGGTACACTCCTCTGTTCTTGCCTGGTCCTCCCTACGCCGCTTAAATCTTAACGCTATTTAAACAGGAGTACATCCGACGTGACTAAAAAAATATTTGAGTAAAAATTCAATCAGACAAATTTAAATTTGCTTGGTTGGTTTGCTGCAGCAGGGGTAAAGCTCCCCTAGGGGTATTAGATGTAAAGCTCTCAGCAGTGTGGAAGATGTTGAGTCAAGTTAATTAATTTTTGGAACATTTTAGTTTGTTTTACTTGTCCACTCAGTCTTTCACTATTAGTGAGAATTCCCCTTTTCTGTCTTCTTGAATGCAAATAATGAATAGTAATTCACTAAAATCCCAAAAGTGAACCTTTTTGGGGCAAGATAGTGGTTTGTGAGCAAGCACGGAAAACTACTATCGAGCCCTGATTTCATGAGCAGGGAACGATTTTAGCAAATAATCACATAAAACTTCTTTGTTAATAATAAAATATCTTTCCACAATTTAGTAAATTTTCTTTATAGGTGTCGTAGCATTGTTCAACAATTTATTTAAATGTCAGTGGAATATACACATTAAGCGCTTTTGTTAATCCAAACAAGATCTTTGTTTCGTGAAGGCAAAAGTTTGTTTGGGAAAGGTAAAGTTTTGTTTGTGATAAGGAAAAGTGATTAGGACAAACAAAATCATATGTTTTGTAGGATTGGAAATCGCTGAGCTATTTTCATGTATTTCGTGTACCAATGAATATTATCAAAAAGAATATTGCATTAATATGACATCTTAAACTTGCTAGTGCCATGAAATCTAGAGGCTGTTTTTCTGGAATGTTGCAAAATTTAAGACAGAAAACCTTGAGCTAAGATTATTCAGAGAAGGTTAAAAAATACATGGTTTGATAGTTGAAATCTACAGAAATAAGCTTTTGATGAATATCAGCAACAAACAAGCCTGTTAAAACTATATTTTGGCCATGAAACGGCGTATGAGCTCTATACAGTAAAATAGAGTTTTAACGGATAAGTTACTCATTGTTTTATTAAAATAACCAAGAGCTGTCTTTTTACCAAAATAAGATTTAGGATAATAAATTAAAGTGTTTAAAACAAAGCAAACATTTTATTGCTTAAAAATAAATAATACTATATCCAACAAATATCACACATTTTGTATCACCTATCTATCAAACAGGAGATCAAAATTTGACTAAAGTTTCATTTCAAACAAGTGCAATATACTTTCTATTGCTTGGTTTTTAAGTAGTTCAAGAGAGGCACAACCATGGAGATCCATACAGTTAAGTAGCCTAACTATTTTACTTTAGGTAAATATTAATTCATAAAGTTAATATGAAAATTGTTTGTCGATAAAATATAACTATAAGCGTAGGTCCTAAAGCTAGAACTCTTTTAAGCGTTCTGTTAAGTAGGTAAAACGTCTAGTTGTTTACAAATTCTTTTAAACTGGAACATAATTACCCTGTGGTGTATAGAATGTCTGTCCATTTGTGATTCGTCGCCATAGTTCTTTTCGCAATAGTCGTTTCTCCTTTTGTAGTTTTGTAAACATGCTCCTGTTTTCTGTTGCTCGCCGAGAAAGGTACGGTAACACCTCATTTACAGGTCCGTAAGGAATGTATTTGAAAGCGGAATATCCCGCTTGACCGAGAGGGAACGTTATATAGTCACACATCCCGTACAACTGTCCGAAACAGATCACTTTGTCTTCAGGATTGATGCCGATTTGTTTCATTTGTTCAATAGCGAATCTCACAGTATCCTCATTGTGTGATGCCACCATGATAGCAATCTTGTTTGGTTGTCCAGTATCTTTAAGAACCTTGATTTGCTTCAAACACTCTGTCAAGGTTTTGTGGTACATTTCAGACGTGGCTTCATAGGTCGGACAAATGGGATCTGGATAACCCAACTCCGCTGCACGTTCACGCTCTTGATCGATGTAAGCCCCCCGGACAAGTTTTGCACCAAAGTAGAATTTTTGTCTTTTCGCTTGAGCTAAATCTGACGAAACCTCGTTGAACGCTTCGTTCAAATAGCATTGGTAAGTGTTGAACACTATCGCCTTTTCTTTATTGTATTTATTCATCATTTCCATTGTGATTCTAGAAATAGCTGGTTGAAAGTATGTTTGCTCTGCATCAATTAGTATGCGGATGTTCATATCCTGTGCAGTTTTAATCAGCGTGTTCACTCTTCTAATTGTGTTCCTAAACATTGCTTCTTCATGCTGAGACAGCTGGGAGATCAATCGAACCATGCGCCCCTCTTGTAAACTAGGAACTCTAAAGGTTTCATTCAACTCAAAATTTTCATCTACGATTCCTGTCCAAGGAAACAAATGAATAACACCTTCTCTGTCTTTGACTACTTTTTCCAGGAACTTAGCAGTGTCTTTGATTCCTGCTTGTTTCAGCTTTTCCTCCAATTGTTCTAGAGTTATGTGACGGTTCAGTATAGTGCCATGGCCTCCCATTACTTCGTTGACAAAATTACGAGATCTCATGATGACTTCTGACAATTGAAGTAAAAACTGAGGTTTTCCCAAAGCTGTTAGTTTGACTGCAGTGATTCCAGTTCCGCCAGTAGAGTCTGCAACAGCTTGCAGGCTCTTTAGGAAAATTTCTAGATTACGTTCGCAGCTTGGTTCATCCAAGTAAAAGTACGTTCTGGCACTGGAAACTTTGTATCGCCTGTCAGCATACTTGGCTGACGGGTGGTATTGTGGAATGTCCTTCCCCATATCACCTGTTTCTGGTAATTGTTCCTTCGGTTTCTCTTCAGGTTGCAACGCGGCCATTTCACGTTTCTTTGCTTCTTCAGTTGATATATCTTCTTCAACAGAGTAGTCGAGAATAGCTTTTACACCGAATGATTGCATTCGCTTTAACACAGGATCGATTTTCGCTTCATCCTCCCCAGCGACGAATTGTCCATAGAATGTGGCTCTCATAATATTTGCAAAAATAGCGTTTCCTAAGACAGACTTTGCCAATTTCATCAGCTTAGCATTGTTGTTTACTAGATAGTTTATGGAGCACATCTGAAACACAATGAGTCCTCGTAATACTTCCCAAGTAGTTTTACTCTTGCATGCAGCTATGTGATCTTCAAACTTGGTGTCCAAAGGATCCCATTTGCTGACACCACTTTTCTTGACAGCCTCTGGAGACGCCTGTGACATCGCAGGACTTTGACTTTGTGATCGCATTAGCACAGAAGTTGATGGTAGTCTAAGATTTGTAAGGTAGAGAATGTTTCTTATGCCACTGTAGTTTTTCATCATTCCGCTCCCGGTTTTGAAATTCGTTGAAATTGCCCTTAGTGCCATCCCTGAAAAAGACAAGAATAATTAGTCTTTGCACAAACTACTGCATAATAATTATTATTTATTAGTCAAAATCCACTTCATTTTATCATTACTCTTTAAAATTTTTAAATATTTTTTTTAAATAATTGTTCTTATAGTTTAATAAGGCTACATCTCAACTTTATGTGTTACAACAATCTATGGACCTGTTTTTGGGTAAATTTGTAAAACGGTGGTTACTGAATAAACAATAAAACCAAGATCTAGAACCTTTGAAGAGGTCAAGGATATTTTTTGGGCCCAGCAAATAGAAAAATAATTAGTTCTTCGACTTTAAACGTAACAGAGACATGAATTAGTATCCAATCTAAGACTAAGAGACAGATCAAATTTTTGTTTTGTCAGTGATTATTTCATCTTCCTTTTAGCGATTTACCCATAGAGAATAAGCATATTTTAAAGGAGATATATTATAGTGTAAATCCAAGCAGGCAAATGGAAATTTGCCTAGTCTGCAGGTTTGATGCAGTGGGGGTATTTATGTTTGAAAATTACCCATTGTTCATTATAATGGGTTCAGATCATTAAATAGAATTACCTGCCATTAGAATGCATAGCATGGATATTTGTAATGTTATTGATAGGCTATTATAGCCATATGTGCCATATGAATGAGAAGGTGGTTTTTAAAGAAACCAAATTCAATAACCGAAATAACAATTCTTTTTTACTTGAAAAACTAAATTTAGTGCCACATGACCCTTTTTTAAACACAAACTGTATACATACCTATTTAACAAAATAATTATGTTTACGTGCAATACAAAGTGCCCCACACTCTCTGCCAGCAAATACGCAAATGCGAGACGGTAGGACGCACGAGCCGAGGTTTTTCATTCTAATTACAAATTTTGTAGTGATCAATAATCATTTCAGGACCATCAAAACGTCACATGGCCAATCAGGCATTTTGGACTGCAAGGACGCCCCCTATCATTCGCTTTAGGATTTATTATTTATTAATTAAGTGAACGGTCTAAAATATATATAGGCCTATATAGCAATGTTTGATTATTTTTTTAAATTGAAAAGTAAACCTATTTTTCCTCATAAAACCCCCCTACCCATAGTCAGAACTTGTTCGCAAACTTGACCGAATAAATGTAGGTATACACTTTTATACCAAATCTCATCAAAATCGGACCATTTTTGCTTGAGTTACCGTGTTAAAGGACATATATATATTTATGAATTTGAACGGATGGTGTTTTTAGTCTCTGGGCACCTCAAACGAAAAAGTAAATCGGTCCCGGGTCCAGGTCTTACCATAGTAAGCTAGCTATAGTACTATGGCAATAGCTTATTCCCTATATAGGAAATTTGCTAAAACAACTCTAAATGTTGGAAGATAAGAAATTAAAACAAGAGTTTAAATGTTGTATTTAATAACAATACGGGTAGTCTGTAACGTCATAGATAAAAGGAGTATAGACAGGTAACGTGTAGAAAACCATATTGTAAACCAACAATGCTTTGTATGTCCATTTTTAATAACATGAACTATCTAATACTTTATGACCCTTGGGTAAAACATTTCCCTTTGTGTAGCTTGGGCATTAAAGTCACTGTAGATCAGAGAATGTCAGATAAAATCAAGGCATTTCCATCTAGACCTAAATTATATGGAAGTTTGTAACATAATTTCTTCAGAATTGCATTTTTATTTTTAAAGTTTGCCTGAGAATGCAGCATATAAACTAATTTAATTAATGCATTACCCCCCCCCCCCCCCAAGAACTACATTGATCATATGAATTATCATATACCGTAGTTAACTCTCGACTTTGAACTACTAACAAAATAATTATGTTTACGTGCAATACAAAGTGCCCCACACTCTCTGCCAGCAAATACGCAAATGCGAGACGGTAGGACGCACGAGCCGCATGAGCCGTATGTACTTGTATTGGAAAAAACCAATATGGCGGACATCTAGCATCACCTGCAAAGTGCTCCCATATCTAAAGTGTAGTTTAGTGGTAAAAAACAACAAAATTACTAATTAAACAACACACATAGAAACAACAACTCATCAAGATTTCAAGACAATCAAGATTTTAAGTGACCCTCAAGAAAATCTCATGAAAAGCCAATATGACTAACTGAACATGACTGTAAGTTATTAATACAAGTTTAATACCAAAAATAACATTTACCTCAAAAATTCATAGAGCAGATGGTTATCTTGTAAACATTGCATAGTTTAAAAGTTTCAATTTTACATACAAGTGCCCAAATTATTTTAATTAAACTCTGCAAATATATCAAACTGACAACCAAGCAGTGACGTCACAGCCAACTCACAGCTTTACACATTCATCACTTCCAACACGACACCTGCTGCCTGGGAGTGTTTGAACTGAGAGTTGCTGACTGGACGCTCAGCAAACTGACCACAGACACTGCCACTTCTAACAGTGTCTACAACCTACTACCAACCAGTAATACAGTGCAACACTGTATTCTTCATTAATCTACACAAATTTTTGACAACAGAAATAAATTTATTTATTTATTTAAATAGTTCTAATCCTGACATAAAGAACCAGCCAAACTTTTCAAAACTGATATAATTTTTAACCTGAACCTCAAGATTCCTGACATAAAGAACCAGCCAAACTTTTCAAAACTGATACAATTTTTAACCCGAACCTCAAGATTCCTGACATAAAGAACCAGCCAAACTTTTCAAAACTGATATAATTTTTAACCTGAACCTCAAGACTTCTGACATAAAGAACCAGCCAAACTTTTCAAAACTGATACAATTTTTAACCCGAACCTTAAGATTCCTGACATAAAGAACCAGCCAAACTTTTCAAAACTGATATAATTTTTAACCTGAACCTCAAGATTTCTGACATAAAGAACCAGCCAAACTTTTCAAAACTGTTAGAATTTTTAACCTAAACCTCAAGATTCCTGACATAAAGAATCAGCCAAACTTTTCAAAACTGATACAATTTTACACCTGAACTTCAAGACCCCTGACATAAAGAACCAGCCAAACTTTTCAAAACTGATACAATTTTACACCTGAACTATGTCGAAGAACAAAACAAAAGTTTCAAAATATCCGTGTGGTGAATGCAACATCGGTGTAAAATATTCCAGTATAAAATGTACTGGTCCCTGCAACTCCTGGTTCCATGGTGGGTGTGTCAATATCACAGAAAAACAATTAAAAAACCTTTCTAAAGAAGACATTTCCCTATGGAGGTGTAACAATTGTAGTGATTCTTCCCTCACCTCTGGAAAGCCAGCGTTACAACTAAAAGAAGACCAAACTCCCACACCCCCAAATCAAATATCCTCTGAAAGTCAGGGTAACAAAATGGGCGAGGTAGAAAACAAAATTCTAGAACTAGAAAACTCAGAAGATCCCGATTTAGAAACTTCTCTAACACTTGCAGCAGAAGTTGGAAACGCACTTCTAGCACAAAATAGCAAACTAAGAGAAGAAGTACTCAACCTGACTCAACAAAACTCGAGTCTGGCCCAGAAACTAACAAACATACAAACCATCGACATCATGAACTACCACGCTCAAATTGAACAACTAGAAGACGAGAAAAATACTATTCTAATTAGAAACAACAACCTAATCGAAACAATAACTGAACTAGAACACCAATTGGAAAAGGAAGTAAGCCTAAGAAACACTCTCACAAAAACATTTGAAGATTATGACAAAGACAGGGAAGAAACTTTTAATAGCTTCATCACAAAAATAAAGGACATGGAGAATGAAATTAAATGCCTTAGGCAAAAAAATACATGCAGCAGAATAAACACCGGAGAAGAATCTACAAAATCATTCAGAGAGACAAGCACACAGACAACCACTACAGAGGCGAAGGACCTCACAAACAAATCCACAGTTTCAGACAACAAAAAGCCAGAAGCATCAAACACAGAAACACTAATTCTACTTGAACTAAAGGCCCTAAAAGAAAAACAGAATAATATGGAGTCAAAAATGAAGAAATTAGAAGATAAAATAACAGTAGAAGATTCCCAGCACCTAATAACTGAGAAAAAGGAGACTCCTTGCAAGCCAATTAACACACCAAGACGAGTTTCATATAATAAAAACAAATTGGCAACTACTAAGAAAACCCATTTCAGTGTTTCCTTGCAAATAGCAAAAAGCAAGTTGAGGAAAGAAGCACCAGAACACCAAAGTCAACCACAACAAACACAAAATCAAAATATTAAAGAACCCAAGGCCATCAAAATCCCAAAACGAGTTTGCTCTACTTTCAAGGGCACTATATCTCCCCCAAACAAATCAACTAAACCAAAGAACACAGGGAAACCCCTGATCACCGCCAAGCTTCTGAAGCCGGGAGAGACCATTGAAGACTTCTTTTGGAAAAATATAGACCTATATAAAAAGAATATTCTGTCACACACCAAGCGACTAAACATGACCGAGATGGACTGCCTCTCTTCTCAAGGAGAACAGAAACATGAGCAGCTGCAGGAACCCAATTCAAGTCAACAATCCAATCACTCTACAGTGTCCCATACTATAACCCCTTTTTTAGAAACAAACAGCCTGAAAAAAGGAAAAGAAAAATCTGCAAATCTCCAAATAATTCTTGTGTAGCAATAATGCACCAAAATATTAGAGGACTTGCCACAAAGACAAACAGACTACACCATATTCTCAATGACACAAAACCAAGCATTCTAGTCTTGACTGAACACGGACTGAAAAAAACAGAGCTAGAAGCTACAAAAATTCCCGGCTACTCTTTAATTACCCACTTTAGTAGAGAAGAACATAAACTTGGAGGTGTTGCAATATACTCCAAGGAATCCCTTGCTGATACAGTATCAGCTATTAACATATCAAACACATGCCAGGAGTTAATTTTCAAAGCAGCAATGATTCGCATGCAGACAACAAAGAAAAAGGATATCTACATTCTGGGAATCTATAGACCACCAATCGAAAATGCAAGAATTGCCCTTGACCTCCTATCAGACACGCTAGAACTACAAGAAGTACACAAGAAAAACCTCATACTCATCGGTGACATAAATATCGACAGGCTCACCCAAGATTCCAAAAACACCATGCTGGAAGAAGAGTTAACCACACAAAACATCTGGAGATTTCCTCTAGAGGCCACCAGAATAACCCATGACACAGCCACTTCAATAGACTGTATATGCTCAAACATACCATATGCGTATATTACTGGACAAGTTGTGCATACTGGTCTATCTGACCACACTGCGCAGCTATGCCTGCTGAAAACACACCAAGAAGACACTTCCCAAAGATTTGTAATGAAAATAAGCCTAAACAACACAAACCTTAACAATCTAAAGGCTCACCTCCATCTACAAAATTGGGAACATGTTTACTCTTCACCGAATCTTGAAACCTCCTACAACAAATTTCATAATATTCTTCAAACAGCATTGGATTATACATGCCCATTAAAGAAAACTAAAATTAGTACAAATAAAAAACATATGAAGTACTACGATCCTGAAGCAAAATACCTTAAAGAGAACTTTTTGAAAGCTCTGCAAAAATTTTAGTTAACAAACAGAAATGAAGACAAATTAGAAATGATTAATAGAAAAAGGATATACGACATGAAACTAAGAAACCTAAAAATGTCCTCAACAGCTAGCTTCATAGAACAAGCTGACAACAAACCAAAAGCACTATGGCAAGTTATAAACAAGGAAAGAAAAGGAAAATGTGAAGAGAAAACCCTTACAGAATTAGAAATAAATGGCAAACTCACAAACGACACAAAAGAAATGGCCGAACACTTCAACACATTCTTCTCAAATATAGCAGAAAATACCCTTGACCAAAACAGAGCAATCGTTATAGACCCTGAAACAGTGCTGAATGGAGAGGAACCAGTCTGCCCAATACACCTTACCCTAACTTCAACATCCTATAAAGAAGTTAAAACGATAATAAACTCCCTAAAAGCCAAAACATCAAGTGGAATGGACGAGTTTTCATCTAAGATGATAAAGCACTGCTCTCAAGAACTCATCTCTCCTCTGGTTTATCTTATAAATAAATCATTTAAAGAAGGCAAATTCCCATCCACCATAAAAGTCAGTAAAATATACCCCAAACATAAAAAAGGACCAACTGAAAATGCTCAAAACTACAGGCCCATCTCTCTCATCTCCAGTTTCTCTAAAATCATAGAAAAAATTGCTCTGGCTAGATTAATGGCACATCTTAATGATAACAAACTCTTAACTGACAGCCAACATGGCTTTCGGAAGAATAAATCTACATCCTCAGCTATAACAGCACTAATTGAGTACGTCCTAGACCAGATAGAAAACAAACAATACATTTCCGCCATCTTCCTTGATTACAGTAAAGCTTTTGACTGCCTGGGCCACGACCTGATATGCAAGAAACTCGAAAGACTCGGTATAAGAAACTCTGCGCTAGAATGGTTCAAAAGCTACCTAACGGGACGTTCACAAGTTGTGGAACTGAAAAACTCATCAAATGAAGTCACAGAAAGTTTCAAATCTTCAAAAAGCAAGCAGACGAGAGGAGTTCCACAAGGCTCTGTATTAGGCCCGATTCTATTCATCTTATTGACTAATGACTTCCCCAAACAAATTGAGAGTGAAAATGCTGTTGCAATCATGTATGCAGATGACACAACCATTTTGATCAAGGACAACACAGCCCAAAACCTTTACCTTAATTCAAAATCGATCCTAAATAAAGCTATCCTCTACTCAAAGAACAATGACTTAGCAATAAACCCCACAAAAACTACAACTCTGAATTTCAGTAAGAAAAAAGACATAGTCCCTCAATTAGAGGATGTAACAATAGAAAACCACACAAAATTTCTCGGTGTTATCCTTGATAACAAACTAACATGGAAAGAGCACATCAACCACTTAAGCAAAAAAATCAGTACTGGAATATATGTCGTCAGAAGAATAAACTACATAGGCGGACTCTCCGTGGCCAAAACAGCTTACTTCGCACTGGTAGAGTCGCATCTTAGATATGGCTTGACAGTGTGGGGAGGAACTTCAACAAAAAATATGAATCGAATTCTCGTCCTTCAAAAGAAAGCCATAAGAGCCCTCGCCAACCTTGTCCCACCACAGACTTGCAGACTAGCATTCGCAAACCTAGGAATCCTCACAGTGGTGTCTCTCTACATACTTGAATCTATAAAGTATGTGAATGAAATAAACCCCCCAAGAAACCAAGACCTGCACCACTACAACACCCGTCATGGCTCCAAATTTGCACTACCAGTTCACCGAACAACTCTTTGGGAGAAAAAACCTTCCTACACCGGCTGCAAGCTGAGGAACCATCTACCTGACTACCTGAGAGACCTGACTGGCAACAAGCTACACCAGGAGTTGAAGAAGTGGCTAATCGCAAGACCCTTTTACTCAATAAAGGAATTTTATGAAAATTAACATGTACAATTCACTATTGTATTGACACTATTGTAATTCTTGACGAATTAACAATAAAGAATATTGTATTGTATTGTATTGTATTGTACTGGGACCTCAGCTTCGGTATAGATAAAATCATATTGATTCATTAAAGTTTACAATGTTCTTTCAATTTAATTTAAAAAAAAAACAATTTCCTAACAAATATATCTGGATTACAGGTAGGCATAGTCTAGGCAGGTTACAAAACTAAATAATACTATAAACATTTTCAACTCTAAGTGAATTTTTCTGGGTTAGAATGAACATTTTTTGTGTGTGAAAATTGAGGGAATATCGGACTCTCAGTGATGGATGAATTAGTTTAATTGAAGAACATTTGGAATATATAATTGGTTAATAATAGTTTCAATTAATTAGAGTGTAGGAAACTTATATATCTGTTGTTTTAAACTTACCACCTCTAAAAGATTAAAATGGAGTTGACATTTTCATCTACAACAATAATTACATCAAATTTTACATTGTACCGTAATGGTTTGGCCACTTTACTGTGGTACCTAACCTTGTTATCTCTCAAAGAGTGCCATGCCAACACATTGCTTCTTAGCTTACGTTTTTTTTTCATTTATTCCAAATGGTTTACGTTTTGAGTAAGCTTAGTTGATAATAGATAGCATGGACCTCTAAAAATATGGGCAAGTGGGCCCCCCGACCCTCCCCTGTAAGACCCTACACCATCCAAATTCTTACAAATTAAAAAAAATATGAAAACAATCAATAAATTTACAATAGGTACCTACCTGGAGCAAATTAAGTTAATACGAAAATTCATAAAACCAACTATTTTGTAAGTTACGGTAGGTACTTAAGTTTTAAATATTTTCCGGGGTCTAACTTAGCCCTTTTTACTTACTGGGTCATTATAAAAATTTAGGCCTACCTGACCCTCCAGTTCCCCAGCCTTCCTTATGGGCGTTAGATGGACGCCCAGTATAGCCAGCTAATTAACTACTAACTAAAAGAACTTGGGGCCTAATTAGGCCTATTATCAATTTTCACAATAACCTGAATAGCATAAAGGCCTAGGCTACCTCTAACTTAGTACCTATATAAAAATAATAACTAAACTTAGTTATCCGACTCTATCATTGTAGTAAGTAAGTTACCTCACCCAAAACTGATAAGTTACTTAAGAATCACAAGAAAAATGTGAAACTTGTGTACCGGTATGACTTATCATAGAACTGAAACTCAGAAAATATCGCTAAGATTGATTAAGAATAACTTAAGAATAAGTTAGCTTAATCAATATATTTGTGTCAATAGTTTCATCCAATTATTGGGTTTTACGATAATAAGCTGATAAGCTTATGTATAAAAGGTCTGCCAAAATATTGAGCAATGTTTGGAACATTTGGTATTTAGCCCTTATAATTTGGGTTTTAACTGATAATGAATAATCCTAGGCTGCCGATACCTACTTAATTTACCTGTACAAGCCTAAGTTGATCTAGACATTAAAACTGTAATGATCAATAAATTATAACAATATTTCACACAACTTAACTGTGGCTATTACAGTATTTTTAAGGAGTTTGGACCAATGTGTTGAGTTTCAGACACCTTTAGTTATTTATTAGCAGTTACCGCACCTTTGAGCTTGAAATCGTATAACTGTCACCCTAAAGGGTTAACTCTTTCTGTAATCGATACCTATCTTCTATCATTATTTTCTTTGAAAGCTTACCTGCAGTTTATGACGGCTCAGTCAGAAGGCTATAACTCAAACTTCATTGCGTTTAACAACTATATTTATGATAAAATTATATGGCAATTACTAAATGAGACAAATTGATGAACACAAATGAAAACCGAACCGGGTTAAATTAAATTGCTATCAGCTTTTTGGTTTATTCTATTAGGGTTAACAACGTTAGAGAAAGACTAGAGACAGACTGGTAGGGAACGAAATATCGACCAATCAGAATCCGTTCAACAGTATACCAAAGACCAACAAGTTTGAGGTTAGGGTTGTAAACAGTACCGCGAAACACAAACAAAACAAACAGTATTCTAAACAATATGGCACTATTTTATCCTGTTTCAGTAAGAGTTGAAGTATTTTAACACAATCAAAACCAAATGTTTTAAATAATATATTATTAATACCTTCGATTTATTAGTAATCTATAACTGCATGTTCACCGACTTTTAATTAATTATTGAGTCTAATCTTGATTAGTCAAGTTTAGGGCATCGGCATCGTTCTACTTGATCATCTGAGGTAGGCCTAGCTTGAATGAGCATAATCTAGAATATTTAATATTCAAGGCAACAGTTTCTAAATATGTTTTGCAAGGTTAATTCTAAGCCACTCTAGGTTTTACTTAGGTAAACTCAACTTAAGGTAACTTAATAGACATGTTAGACATTTTCCTTACAGAACAGGCCTAACCCTAACCCTAATGGTTCCTTAAAAATCGTGGCTAAGTTTAGGTTATGTCAAAGGGTTAGTGAACTACATAAAAAAATGTGTAAATTTATAAGTCTGTAGATGTAAGTCTTTTATTTACTTACGGACACTAAAAGCAATGTAAAACGTAAAGTTGGGAATAGGCTGAACAAAAATTTAGGGCTGCACTTTACTTTAGGTCCTACACTTTTTCAAATAAAAATATCGATCGATATATCGACTGTTTCATTCAACAATCCGAATGAGACTAACAACGGAATGAAATTATTAAAAAAAAATTAGCCTATTATTATTATTCCATTATTTGGTGGTTAGATATTTCATAAGAGTAGTTTATTTTATGTCATTTGGTTAGTTAGGTAAGGTTACACTAACCTAACTAACCAAACGATGTAGCCTATCGATTGAAAAAATCGAATAATCAATATTTTCATTCGAATGAGTGTAGGACCTAAAGTAAAGTGCAGCCAAATTTAGTCAATAAATTTCTTACAATAACTTGCCTTTGATTTTTTTTTAAATTAACCTGATAAGTTTAAGTCTCTTAGAGACAACCTAGTTATTCTAGGGTAAACATGCCATAATTTAGAAGCCTAACTTTTTAAATGTAAAAATTGTTTTTACCTACACAATCAAATTGGTTATAATTTTGAAGTACCGGTAAGTATTTGAATAAAACTCTTAAAAAACAAATATTAGTCTGCGCCCTAGTATAGCCTATTACCACTGGTCCAATTTACTTGAATACTTGTAGTCCAGAGGCAGGAATTGTAGCTATAAGTTAGGCCATAGGGTACAATAATAATTTAACCTTAAGTAATTGAGGAGGTCCAATCTATGTTGAACATTTATTTAACTCAATTACAATAAATTAATTAGGTTTGTGGACATTTCTGATATGTTAACTAATTATGGTGAATACTGTTTAGACTAACTGATGGCGACACAAAAACCAAAGCAATATATTATTGGATGTTTATTAAAACTACAGTTAAGTTAACTTATACGTTAGATTACAAATTTAAATTCCTAAATTTTGTTTATAGACACTTAAACCAAGTAAAATATTTAGGTGAACTCTCTGTTTATTTTATATTTTACAGACAAAAGCAATCGTCCTTTAAATGAAAAATATACAGCCTATATTAAATTTTATTACAGTACCGTACGGTACTTAACTTAGCACCGTGTAAAATGTAAAACAGTGTTGTAGATTTATTTTCCATCATGACCAAGTTTGTAAGAATAAATTATTCTGATAATTTTGGACGTAATTTCACCTTCTTTAATTAATTATGAACTAATACATAAAAAAGAGTTTAAGTACCCTACTTAATTACCGTACTTCTGTAATTGTAATGTGTACTTTTTTCTATCAATGGATTGATGTAAAGTGATTTATTTTATTAAATACAATGCAATATTCCAAATTTACCTTGTCACAAATCTTGATACAGAAATCTTTTGTAATTTTGATTTTTGGGAATGGGAAAAGGTAGAACAAGTGTATTCATAAATCAAAAAGGTATAGGTATTGTAGTACCAAATAGGTACAAGTTGTTGAAGTTGATTTAAAAATAATTGTCTTAAAAACACTGTTAAATAAATATTAGAGTAAATTTTGAATTCCACACTTTAACGAATATAATTTTTAAAATATACTGTCCATTTAAACGTAAATCTCAATCTGCAATATTTTCTTTCTTAATTAAAAAAATGATTTCTATACACAAACAAATATATTGAAACTGAAAGTATTTCCCATCAGGTTTTAATGGGATATAAATAAACACCCTAGAATAGAATTATTGAAATAGGAGAAAATGGTTGAAAGTGGGTTGTTTCGGTGGGGGTGGGGGGTAATGTGGGTGGTGAGATAATGTTGGGGTGGGGGGTGGAAATCAATACCCCTAGACTGAGAGGTGCCAGGCCTATAATCAATAACAGCCCCCGGCCGGTCTCATATTAAATGCATGCATACAACTCGTACTTTGCGTAATTCCGTACAAACCGTGCTCCAAATACTGACTCACCAAGTTGTACGTAGTCTGAAGCATTTTGTGTCGATGTAGATTCGTTTGTGAGCGTTAGCAAACTCGGAATTGTTGAAATGGCCTCTAAGGTGCTTGTAAAGATGCCGGCGGTATCTTTTAACCAGGTGAGTTTAGTGGATAAAGTTCGATCTCTCACTCGGCTTTGCAAGTGGGACTTGAAAACTAGGATGGTAAAATGTGTTTAATTTTCTACATAGCTAACGAGTGTAATGGTGGTTGCATAATACACTACAGTCTGCTTATGAATTGTGATGACTTGCAACAAGTATTGCACAATTTTTTTGTCACATTATTATGTCGTACAGGTTTTGAGTTTAGTTATGTTTTTTGAATGTTTTAAAATCACTAAAGTAGAATTGAGATCGTCATAAATAACTTTTGTTTTTTGTATAAATAATTTGTATGCGGTACATGATGATACTTAAATTTATTTATGACTTTTAATTAATTAACAAATATTTAATGACTATAATGGTTTACAACTAATAAAATGAATATATGTGTCTGGCCTTGAAGAAATAATATAAAAAATATTTGTATTCTAGCTTATCATTGTTGAAAAAGATTGTTACATTAAACCCTCATTGATTTGAACTTCTATAATACAAACTTTTAACTTGGGTTGCCTTGGACAGAGTTTTTAAAAATGTCTTGCAGATATAGGAACGTGCCTCTTTAATTTATAGTTTTTTCTATCCAGTTTACAATACTTTAGTTTACTGTACAAAACAAAAAACAAAAAAACAAGATCATGCTACACAATTCGAAAATTTTTTTTCTAATTTTTTCTGTGATGGGCGTATTATTGAATGACTCTAGACACCTTGGAATACCACTGCCCTTAATTTTATTGATTCCATTTAAACAATCCAGACTTATATAACACTTATACATATAAGATCCCCAATATATCCAAATTAATACTTAACTGTAGGTACAGAACTTAATTTTTCTGCAAAATATTATGCCAAAATTTAGTGTAATAAATTAAAAAGCTTATACAAAAATGTTATGTAAAACCTTGAATCCTTGAAAGCTCTAATTTAATATTATGGACTTGAGTGAGTTTTTGGGTGGTATCATTTTGCAGTTTTCATTTATGACGACATCCTATTAAAATATTAAAATTCGTAATTTTGCTTCTACTTATAAAATTACTAAAACTAAAATTACCTACCTTTCAAGTATTCAGAGTAACATCATTTGAATTTTTAAAATAAGTTGGAATTATAGGTATTGTTTTACTCCATGCCGTACTGAGTGGGATGTTATGGTTAGATTTATGAAACTAGAATCTAGGGGTGGATTAGTTGTTGTAACATATTGATCCCTTACATGCAAAACCAATATTGATAATTCAGTTAACTGCAGGAACTGATAAGTTAACATTTCCAGCTTTGTCACCTTTTTGTCTTGTGCACAGCACAATACAATATACAATATACAGTACATTGTATGGATTCAAATGTATTTGTTCTCAATATAAGAGCAATATATGTTCCCGTCAAGTGTTTTTTTAACATGTCGGTATGAACCAATTAATACTTAGAAAAAGTAATAAAATTAAAATACTTCAAAAGTTTGTTTTTAAAGAGAAAAAGTATACGTTTGTATTTATTAATAATATTGTAAGGTAGTTATGGTAGGTATGTATTGAAATTTACACATCCAAATTTACAGCCTCATCCAATAAAAGTATCAAGAGGTCGCCTTGCTGTAAACTTTTTATATTAATTTCTACTTACTGTTAAATTCCATTCAAAATAAACATTCATATCATATACCAACATAAACATGTACATTGAATGGGTCCATTAAAACTAGACTTCTTCTCAATCATACAATATGTTTTATTGTTTGAATGTTTGATTATTTCTTAGCTAGGAAAGTTTTTTTCTAGTTTGGCTACCTTAATTGACTTGTGATCCATTAATGTTTTTTTTTTTTTTTTTTTTTTTTTTGTAAAGAGGACTCAACACTATTCCGAAACTCATTATTTTACTACTGCATTTCTTGGCTTAGTGACAATTTGACTAGGTAGCTGAGAGGTTAAGAACTCACCTGCTATCTGAAGATCGCTGGTTCGATTCTAAAAACTTGAGCAAAATTTCTTGGTTAAAATTGGACCCAGCTGTTCTTGGTCATTTTTAGACATATACAGCTGATTTTAATCAATAAAACTATGATCTCATTCATTCAACAGTTGCCTTACACTATACACACCCTGTTGTGTTGTCATAGTAAATCTAATCTAATCTATTATTGTATTATGCCTATCTGGTCCTAGTTATCAACCTGCTAAGCACATTATGGTGTGCTTCCAGATAATTTGCTTTTTTGTAGATTTTGGTTAAAAACGCAACATGAAGTTGCGTTATATGCTTCTGTCAAAGCCATTATTGTGTGGGT